CTCAATTAAGAAACTTAGTATTGAAATTAATAATCTTACAAAAGTATTCTTATCCGTGTATACATATATCGCTCGGCCAGATTTCTGTTGAAATAAAATGAGTCGGCCCGCATCTGGCGGTGCGACAGTTATACGTGATGTTACAAAAATGATCAAAACGGGAAAGCCATGTTCCCGCGAAAAGAAGTAATTGGTTGAATACACCGAAAAGTTTGTCCGCGTCAAATAACATTCCGCGTTGATGCAGCAGGAAGGCGAAATTGTACAGAAATTAACACATATTGCCGGTCGGTTGGTGGACGTAACGAAACCGCACCAAAAAGAGTATAACGTTTTTTCAGCTAATTTCGCGCCCCGGCTGCGATTTGTTTCGATTGTGCCGGTTCATCCACGCCGCCGTCCATTCAACCGTTACTTTTTTTTTTTTTTTTCTATCGTTCCATGATCGAGACGCGACGAAAAAAAAAGAAAAACTTTTTTTCACGTGGTTCGGACAAATGTAGCCGGCCTAGATCGAGTCCCGGGGATCCAATGGGAACTGTTATTTACGAGCGAGCAACACGACGATGGGGCGCGCTTAAAATTTCTCGCCGTAAAAGCCCGGCTGCAGCCGAGAGAAGCACGCGTACAGATGTTTACGAGAGTAGGACCCTTAACGAAACAGATTTGCCGTCAGGCATACTTTTATTACAGTCACATATTAGTACACTTAATTAACTCTACCACTTACTAAGGAAAAAATATTTTACGCTTATTTACAAAGATCATTTTCATACTAATAATAGAGAGAATTGCAACACCTTTCCATAAAACTAGAAATATTTTGAAAATCATGTAATTATTGGCAATATAAAATATAATTTGGCAATATAAAATATATTTCTATAAAATATTCAAGTTTAAACACTATTAAATAGCATTAAAAATTCTTGTGAATACGACTATGCTTTAAATGTTAAAAAGCCAATATTCGAGCAAAAAAAGAGCATGTTTTGATTCCTGAAACAACGCGATCAAAGGTTTATTACAAAGCTTCATTACAGTAATTACTAAGGAAACCGTGCGTGTCATGCGTGCGACCCCGCTTTCAAAGCAAATGCGTGCAAGCGTTCGCCACAAAGAAACGATTTTATGGAACGAAATTAGCTCGTAACAGGAAATTCTATCGTTTTGCTTCTAATCGATATTCGCATGAATTATGGCGCGGCAGAAATTCTCGGAAAGAAAAATTCGCCATCAATTTGTAGCGTCTTGGAAATTTTTCAAACAACCCACTCTGTTATGTGCTAAAAAATATCCGCTGGAGAAAAACTTAAAATATTTTTATGAGTAACTAACAATATAAATTAACATGTCATAAAATATGTCATAAATTTAAAGTTCTGTTTACGCAAACTGCGATTAGTTTATTAAATAATATCTTACTGATATTTCCTTATTGTTGTCATCATAAATCACATGATAAATTAGCCTCTTTTACTCCTATATTATCACTTTGTCAAAATTTGGTTCTTTCAAAGATACAAGATAACACACGTGACTTTTGACGATGATTTTGTATCGAGTGAATGCGGGATGAGAGAAGAAAACGTGCCACTGCGAACAACCGTACGATCGTTTCGCGAGAAGCGACGTGCTAAAGCTGCAACGACGCGGGATGCAAACTGAACGCCATTATCTGTATCGCGTGCGGTGGCTCCCTTCTTTCCGGCTCTAACGTTTCGTAAAATTCACGAACGCGCGCACTCGACGACATGTAACGAACGCGAGAGAATGGAAGCAGCGACACGTGCTGGAAACGCTAGATTCCTCGACTCTGGTCGAAAGAAAGGCGACGGAGAAAGAGATGGGCGGTAAAACGCACGCGAGAAGAGGGAAAAAGAAATAAAACGACAAACAAGCAAGGTTACCGACGAGGATTAAGGGGGCGTAAGCGCGTACGGAAAATTCAGTGGCTCGTTTCGCGGAGTATAGTCGAGTTAAGCATAAAAGAGAACGATGCTAACTGCATCGAACGACTTTTCCCGTATTACGAAATTTTAAATGCAATTCTCGGCGAATTGCCCGCACCATCGAAATAATTTACTAACCACGCCGCAGCGAGCGCGAAGTCGTTCTCCCCCTTAGCGGGAGTCTGTCTCGAAATTTCTGAATATATTAGCCATACATCTTGCATCGCGAAAAAGCGATACGCAAAAAGTAGACTGGTAAAGTATAGAGAATAAAATAGAGAGAAAGAAAGAATGAAAAATAGAACGAATTCAGCGGAAGATATAGTGTTATTTCTTCCGCAACGTTCAGTTTCAAGATTACTTGGAATAAACTTAACGTGTATAATGAGTCCAAAAAATTACTATTTCACTACAATTTATAGTTGTCGCCAAGCGAGATTGATACAAAACTGAAAGAATAAAGTATTATTTTCTCTTGGTTGACTTTCTCGCCAAATATCGGATATAATAATAAAATAAATATATAATAAAATAATATAATAAAATAATAATAAAATAAATATATAATAAAATAAATTAAAAATAAATAGAAACCGATGTACATACATGCGTAACAGAGTATGTAAATAGGACATTACAAATTAATATTAAACCGATTATTTGTCCTAAATTTGATCAAACATATTCTATTTATATATTTACTGTGTGTTATTCAGATGTGTGTGTCGAGTATGTGTGTGTAGTACGCGTGCACTTGTGTGTTCGCCGTACCGTTTCACACATATTTGTCGAAAAGGTGTTATAAAGCAGAGTTCTTTATTCTTGTACATCCATCTCGAAACGATGTAATGGTCGATGACAGTACAGTCTACACTACACGTCAAAACGGCTTCCTACAAATCGATTGTTTCAGTTATTTTCACAACTGCGACATTTTACGAGACGAATGACATTTTCTCGTCACGCCAAAAACGACAGGGTTATAAATGCCGAAAGTTCAACGCCACTTTTTTTTCGTTATTTTATTTTGCTATAAATGTCTTTTTTTTACAACCGCACGTTTAAAAAAAATATTACAAAATGTTGCACGCGCGAAAAAATTGAGCGGATAACAAAATTCAAAAAAAAGTTGCGCCAAGTTAAAGCATCACTTTTTATTAAATCTATATTGCTAAACTTTGTCGGAAGTGTCAATTTGATGCTACTGCAAGTAATTTGGACGCAAATGTGAAGGGAAAAAGAGGGCGACGACTTTTAAACTTCCAAATAAGATAAAGAACGGAGAGAGAAAGAGAGAGAGAGACAGAGAGAGAGAAAGTTTATATTTACGACTTAAGAGTTAGATATATTCTCCAGCATATTAGACATCGATCACACAAAGCTTTAATGAAACAAGAAAAAGTTTTGAATTTTACTCTAAAATCTGTTAAACTAGATATTATAAAATTATAATATTAATTAAATCAAGACAATTTTTTAAATTGTACTTTTTGTAAATTACCTTTTGTAATAATTTTTGTATAAAGAAACTTAATAATAAACAAAAGAGCAAAGACCTGTTCTTGTGTCGGAAAAGTTTTCCCATTTGACGTACATGTTACTGCATATTAGACTTAATTATATTTTATTGAGTTCGATGACTGATGATGTAAGAGGAGCTTATTTATAGACGCGTCACGCGTGACGTAACTATGCATGGAAGTGCAGAGCACTTTTCGCTCAAGGCCGATTCTCTGATCAAGTATTGGATAATCCCACGATTCATATTACGAATGATACGAAGCGCGTTATTTCAGCGTAATGAGAAGCGGGACCCACGTGACCGTCAATTATTACAGCATTGTTACAATGGGAATTAGTCGACGAACGAGCATCGTAATCGCTACCGCAAGCCTGACGCCGTAGAACCGTTCCCATTGCATCGTTCGTAAAGCGTTTATGCACGTCGGGCCCCCGTCGATCAACAAAGTAAGAGTTTCGAGACAATGGCAAAAAAGGGAACAGCCGTGCGCGGCAGCAAGAACACGCGGAGATATTATTATCGCGTTTGAACCGCGATAAAACGCTCATCATTCATCGCGAAATGATCGAAACGTGTCGTCTCGACGACGAGCTCGCGTTATCGGCCGCATGTGCGTGAAGCATTGAAAGATAAACGGTGCCACGGGGCAAAGGGGTGACCTCAGCGCGACGCTGCTCCGGGAAAAAGAGAGAGAAACGGTTTTGAGGCCATCTCCGGCACAATATATAGTAGGCTGCCATAGTCTACGACGAGCGCGGCACATCACGTTACGTCATTACGACGAACGATTCGTCATTTGTTGAACTCGTTAATCGGAATCGCCTTCCAGATCCCGTCCCGCCGATCAAACGTCCCATCGATAATAACGCGGGAAAACGCGCGCCGTTTCCTCTCCGGCAGAGAATCATAAACGCGAATTTATCAAGAGTCACTTTTTTTTTTTTTTTTTTTTACCGTACCTAATGCAATGCCGCTGATTATCGCTGAGTATTCTTCTTAATCGAAAATTTAAATTGTTTGAATATGCATATTAGCGGAAATGTATGTGCTCTATAGAGTTGAAAACGGCCGTGAGTTTGAAATATTGTCGCGACAATATTGCTGTTGTAACGACTAATTTGCATGTTCGTATCATTTGGGAGTTGTGCGTGAATACGCGTTGTTAGCGACATAAAGGAATATACAATATTAATTGTGACATTAGCAATATCTGTCCACGTGATGTTTTACATTACTCATAATCAGCATTGCATACTTGGTTTTGCTGAATATGGGGTTACTAATTAACGATGACATTGTTAATGGTATTAACTGCTGTATCCATTTTCATCCATTTCCTGAGAATGATACATTGTATACGAAATTACGAAATTATGATACTCTGCGAGCATAACTGCGCTGCGAACTGCATATTTCAAGGACGCAAAGTGACGTTTTGCATCAGCCGGCACGAGGAACGCACGTCCACGCGTCACATTAGGTACGCGTTCCACGCGTACAGTCCGAGAAAAAAAATGTACACATACCTGTCCTTCCGATGACCTCGCGTTGCGCCTACAGCTATCACTCGATCGCGGGAAAAATCTTCGTGAATCTTCTATCTGCCGTGACGAACGATAAAACGCCGGAAGTCACTGAGAATCGCGCCGGATAACCTTGTATTCACGCCTGGAATAGTTTCAGTTCGCTATAGATCACATCGGTAACGACAGCCACGCGTGCGAGATTTTACGACCGGCTCTTCCCGTCGCTTAACTTCAATCGCGGCGCTCCGTCTCTCGATACTGTAATATCGAAGAAGACGGAGAGAGACAATAGACCGTTACTGACTCGGTGATTACTTAAAAAAATCGAAATTAAGTTAATCGCATAAACGCGCACTTGCTCGCTGCTCGACGATGCTCCTAGTGCGAAGATACAACCACGCGCCGCGGAATCAGGCAGTCGACTGACCTGACGCGGGACGGATGCTGTGGCCGGTGTTGCTTGCCACGCGCGCCCCTCTCGCTCCACGCACCCTTCCAGCGCTTCCACCACTACGCCGCAAGCGCCCTCGCAGTCGCGCGACTCACGTTACGATCAGAGCGTGTGCTCATCTCTCCGTTGTATTTGAACATCTACACCAAGCTGCTCCTCTCTTTTTCCCTCCGTCGCTGTCGGCAATCACGCTCGCTCTTTCTCTCTTTCTCTTTCTTTCTCTCTCTCCTGAGTCGGAGACA